GGGTCCTCCTTCCTCCCTTTTTTGAAAATGGGGACCACATTGGCCCTTTTCCAGTCCTCTGGCACCTCGCCAGAGCATCATGAGTGCTCATAAAGCCGTGCCAGGGGTCCTGCAATGACCTCTGCTAATTCCGTCAGCACCCTGGGGTGGAGATCGTCAGAACCTGCTGATTTGAGCATGTCCAGTCCCTCCAGAAGTTCCCCGACTAGATCCTCTCTGACCCTGGGCCTGGTTGTGCCTCCCCTGGGACCAACCGGGATCCCAGTGGGGGCGGGATGACCTGGTTCCTGCTCAACAAAATGGAGGCAAAGAAATTGTTAAATAGGTTAGCTTTGTTGTCCAGTGAAACCACTAGATTTCCTAGCGTGTCCTGCAGAGGCCCCACGTTACCCGGAACCTTCTTTTTACCCACATGTATTTAAAAAAGGATTTCTAGTTATCCTTGATCTGGGTAGCTAGCCCCAGTTCCATCTCCGCCTTGGCTTTCCTAACAGTCCCCCTACAATCCCAAGCAATGGAGGTACAGTCCTCCTTGGTGATGGCCCCTCCCTTCCATTGGGTGTACGCCTCCTTCTTAGCTTTGAGACGTTCCTGGATGCTTTTGGCGAGCCATGGGGGCTTGAGGACTCTTGCCTCCTTTGATCCGTGCTGGGATTGCTACCCTTTGGGCTTGGAGGATCTTCTCCTTCAGGAACGACCACTCTTCTTGGACTCCCAACTCCCCACCCCTCCGGGACCTCAGTGCCTCCCCGACTAGTCTCCTTAGCTCAATGAAACCCGCCCTCCTGAAGTCTAGGGCTGCTGTCTTGCTGCAGGCCTTTGTCACCCTGCGCTGGATGGTGAATTCCAGCAGGCGATGATCGCTGTCACCCAGATGGTTGGGCACTCGCAGTCCCCTCACCAGGTCATTGCTTATGGCCAGGACCGGGTCTAACAAGGCATTTCCCCTGGTGGGGCTGTGCACCTCCTGGGTTAGATGGAGGTCCTGTAACACGGCTAGGAACCTATGCAATATATATGCCACTATATATATAGGTATCAGTTGAACAAAATGTTTTATTGATACATTTGCAATTTTAAAGCAATTTGGAAGCCTACCAGTGCCTCAATCACTATAATAAAATAACTTCTAAATACCTGTACATTTTGGTGTTTGATTTTGGGTTTTCTGTCATGGAAGATCAGAGGTCCCCCTGCTCCTTCTACTCACCAGGACACAGGTCCAGCTGTAGCTATCCCTCCACAACCCCTCTCCTTTGTGGTGCTGAGCAGCCCTGATATGCCAGTGCCCTGCCCATGGCATTGCCTCTTGCTCCCAAACCACAGCGCCCAGCTCTGCTGGTGTCCTTCACACATGAGCCACAGCCCCCTGACCCTGCCAGTGCTCCTCACTCGGGACCCAGTCCCCAGTCCTGCCAGTGCCCCTCAATCCTGACCCACAGCTCCCAGGCCCTGCTAGTGGTCCTCACTCCCTACCCACAGCCCCGTTCTCCCCAGCTCTGCCAGGAGGGCCTCCAGCTGCTAGGGCTACAGGGCCAGGGATTTGGGTTCACAGCCCCCTGCTCCAGCAGTGCCCAAGCCCTGATTGCCGCTTGTAGGAGGTGGCGGCTGCCACAGTCTGAGAGGAGCACAGAGCCCAGCTCCCTGTCCCCCATGGGCAGCACTGCTGGAGCACAGCCCATGGTGGGGGGGTGGATGCAGGCTTCCTGCTGCAAGCCTGGGGCTCGCCATCTTGCTGCCATCTTTCCAGGGCCACCTCAGTTCAGTGGGTGGGTCCCAGCATGGCAGGGCAGGGCAGGGCGGGGTGGGGAGGCTCGGTGCCACCGTCAGGAGCCCTGCACTGCCATGGTGAGGCACTCCCTTCCCACACAGCAGTAGCAGGGGGCACAACTCCATGCTGCCATCCCTACTGCTGGGACTCCTGGCGGTGGCACTGAGCCTCTCCGCCATGCCGGGTCCTGCCTGCTAGGCCGTGGAAGCCCCCAAGGGGAGGGCAGCAGGGAGGCGAGCCCCGAGTCCACAGCTACCAGCCTGCATCTGCCCCTGCCCCGTGCACAAATCTGGGTGTCACTTGCCCCTCATGCCTTTCCCCAAGGCTGTGTGCAGTGGCAGGGAACCAGCCCCCGCACTGCCCTCTGGACAGGCCGTTCACAGCTCTGTCCTGCTCCCCAGCCAGGGCTTGTGGCCACACATTCCCGTCCCAGCTCCCAAGCACCACCCCAGCTGGGCAGTGACCCCAGTCCTGCCCAATTCCCTCCCTCCTTTCCTCACTATGGGGGCCTCAATTCCCTCCCACCCCCCACCCCAGGCTTACATGTGAGGAGCTGTGGGAGCTGGTCTCCACACTGCATGGCTGCCACATGCATGTGTGTGCAAGTACATGCACATGGTGCCCCCAGCCTGATCACCCTCCTCCCACTCCCCCCAGCCCCTTGCAGGCTGGCAGTCTACCATCCTGTAAGGGGAAACCTGCCTGCTCCCACTTTTTTCTCCTTTAAAGGAGAATACCTGCATTTTTCTCCTTAAAATGAGAAAATCTGCTTTTTACCACAGTGAACAGAAAACCTGGATCCCTGTGCATGAGGCTCTATATGAACACTGCTCCCAAGTCCTAGGGTAAAATACATGAACTAGGGGCCTGCACTACAGTTAAACAAGGCATATAGAGGCCCTTGGGAAGCAGAGTCTATCTCAGCCCCCAAGCTGTTACACAAGTAGGTGGGCAGGTTCACAAAGAGCTCAAGAACAGAGGAGAGAAAAGGTAGCATCATCAGGTTTATGCCTTCCTGCCCTAAGTTCAAGAATGGAATAAATAAGAACCATGCCTCAAGTGTACAAACAGGTAGATAGCCCATTAGGACTTATTTGGTTTTCTGGGATGCAGTGGTGAGAACAGGCAAACATTCAGAAGGCTTTTTGTATGCTTAGTTGCCTGGTAAGAACTGGATTGTCTGTCCAATTCGCATATCAGTACTGATTTCTAAACTGCAAAACTTTAGCAGTTAAAGGGGCGTCTGATGAATACACAGAGTTAATTCCTCCAGTGTTTTGCAAGTATTCAAAAAGTTGGTTTTGTAATGGATACCATGGTTTGCAGCCTGCTAAAGCTAAAGCTCGATGACCTGGTAATTTCTCAAATTTCATTTCCCATTTCGTTTAATATGATTCATAATATGCTTGCTTGATCTGCTGCTTTTGTGCTGGTGCTTGCATTTGAAAACAATATTAAAAGTAACCTGCTTGGTTGGGGACCCAATTAA